GAACCAAAAGTAAATGATAAAACTGTTATTTCATTCTCAGGTACCTGGTGCGCATGGGCTTCAATGGAACTATTACAAAATATGATGTGGAGAAATGCCGGAATTTTATCATTCGTGAAAAGTTCGTGCAATTGTACTTTTGGCTCTGATCGTAATTCTCACCAAGTCAAATAAAATAAAATATTCGTTATGTATAACCAGTACTATTAGCAGAATCATACACTTCTAAAAAATTTAATATACATCATAGAGTATGACGTAATAGAGTGAAGCATCTCTCTAAATTAGTGGTTTAAAAGAGACACTATACAACTATACAAAATATGATGCGCTACATAATGTATAAAGTACTAATATAATATCTCTCTTAACTACATAGATTATTGAGAGAAATGTTATCTACCCAAACAAAATATAATGAGCTGCATCGCTCACAGGGACACAGGGAGTTAGTATCCGATGAGTGTATCAATGTCTCAATAATTTGTAGTGTCAAATGGTACAAGAAAAATATTTTTCGGCTCGATTTACAAATTATATTTTCATGCACGACTTGTGGGGCAGCATCAGGCAAACGAACTCTTCATATTGATAAAACAAATCGGGAATGGAAATTTATCGAGATAAAAGTTAGTATTATATTTAAACGTCAACGTAAATTTGTCAGATCATTGAACTTAGGAACATTCACCGAAATGTAGGGGCCAATAAAAAGTTTATGCGTGTGGCATTCAATTACATTTTACGTTACTTTTATCTTTGAAATACTGGCTTCTGTGTACAAAGAGATGCCTATCATTTGTCTTGACAAAATATTTACGTTGAATTGTTTTTCAAGAAGCATTGTACTGGCGCCACCTTGCACATATGAGGCAACGGGCACAAAAACTGGAGGCAGTCAAAATGCTGCGTTTGGGTCTGGACAGCACAAAATGTAAACAGCGTTCTGCCACTGCCGCGCCTCTTGCTCTTCTGCTATAAAATGAAGCCCAGGCAATGACAGACATAAAATTGGCCTTTCTAGCGCATTTTCTCATTTATGGAAAAAATGCATTATTGTGCTCGACATGTCCGTCTGTCCGTCCGTCTGTCCGTCCGTCTGTCTGTCCGTCCATGACTTCACGTTTTCTTCGACGAGAAAATGCGCTCTCTGTCACTCACTGCAGTGAGTACTGAGTTATATTTTCAATAGGCTCCCAGACTGTTATTTCTAGAAGAGTGCTTCTTCGTTACATGTAAGACGTGCATATATAATTGGCTTTTATACTGATGGGGTCATCAGTTCCAACTCGCCGCAAGATTTGTAAATAATATGCACAAGATGTCATGGACAATTGAAAGAAGATTTAATAAAATTCTGATAATCAAAAGCGAAAAATGTAGAACATCGTTTTTAGCCATGCATGGAGCAAACCCCTCTGATGTCCGTTAAGTTAAGCTATAATCAACTCTAGGCGTCATAGTATAGTCTTATAGTGTGGTATTAAACTACTCGTCTATACATTCAAAAGGAAACTATATAGATCGTAAACCTGAGTTTTTTTCAAACATTCGGTGTGTTATTTTATATTCCTTCTTCATGTGCTTGTGCATTTATGCTTCCTAATTGTTACATAGCATTATTTTTGTAATTTCTTTTGTTATGGTCATGAACAATCATTTCGTAGCGTTTCAGAAACCTTCCTAGAAAATCAAAGCTTTTGACTTAAATGGAATAGCTTCAAGACAAAAGAAGTAAACTATGTACAACTCATCCAAAAACCACGAAAATTATTCCACCATAGATATAAAATCTGTGTTAAAACCCCCGTATCATTCATTGATGACTCGTCTCTGCAGAAGCATACACTCAGAAACAGGATGGGTCATATGAACAATATATTGACACACTTTCTGCACACAACACTAATACGCCTCTGTTCGGCGGCAAACTGTGTTAGAATGACCTAAACAATAGCAAAAATTGCAGCTCTACTTGGCTATGACTCACACATTTATCTGAGTGTAAATAGTGTCCTTGTAGACCTAGGACACGATTTTTGGTCTGCGTTGGACTATGCATTATTTTAATATTGTTGGAAGCTGCGTAGGGGCAGCCTTGCTCAGCTCAGCTGCGTAACTGAGCGTCATATAGGGAGCGCTGAGGGACCTCAGTGTCGTCCTTAAACGGACATGTCGTCTTGAGCATCACATTCCGGGTGCTGCCGTGACCAAAGGTCTTATCTTAAGCACCAATAATTTTTCTAAGACGTTATTGATTATAATATGAAATAGGAGCACTAAGAAGCAGTCGCATTTTTATATTCCTTTTTATATTCAGTGATGAGATATCATTCCTTCTAGATAAAATAGCGCATGTGACCTAAACACAAACTACTTCTGGGGTATGTTGACTGGGAGATAAGAGATTTGCCAGTGCCTTGTATTGGACGCGCACTAAATTCACGAGCAAAAAATAATATACATTCTAATGTGTTAATAACTTCACCTTTACGACTTTCATGGATGAAGTTCGAGATTTTTTCGATCGATGAATAGATGAATTCGAAGTGCCCTGTTCCTACGCTCTGTTCAAAACTTGTAACTCAACGCAGTTTCATAAATGGAAAAAAGTATCAAGAATTTCATCGAGAACCGCTCACACAGCCATCATGGCCGCAATCATTAATCTATGTTGATCGCTAATATCTATTTTGCGACTGAGATATATAATTTCTTCATTAAACATGAATTGTGATTAGCCTTTTATTGGGATGCAACTGAATACATGAGTTGATTGTATAACTTGGTACTTGGGGAAACTTCTCAAAATACTGAATTGGGTGAATCACAATCACCACTCATTGTCGATTAGCGAACATTTTATGTTAATAATCATGGACCAAGCAGATTGAACTCAGGATCTCATACTTCGTTATAAAAGATAACCTCCACACCGGCCTTCGTTATATAAGATTACCTCCACACCGACCTTCGTTATATAAGATTACCTCCACACCGGCCTTCGTTGGACAAGATTACCTCCACACCGGCCTTCGTTATAATGATTACCTCCACACCGGCCTTCGTTATAAAAGATTACCTCCACACCGGCCTTCGTTATAAAAGATTACCTCCACTCCGGCCTTCGTTATAAAAGATAACCTCCACACCGCCTTCGTTATATAAGATTACCTCCACACCGGCCTTCGTTATAAAAGATTACCTCCAAACCGGCCTTCGTTATAAAAGATTACCTCCAAACCGGCCTTCGTTATACAAGATAACCTTCACACCGACCTACGACACGGTAGTAACAGCAATATTGTTTGCCACCAAGTTCCAACGATGAAACAAATTTGCTCACGGCTACTTTAACACTCAGCCTTATTCAAAAATTGTATCTCAAAGAAACATTTATATTCAGCTATCGTGCAGTATCCACGGATGAATAGCATATCATAATATCTAATTTTATGTATCTACATCAGTACATCCCAATTGATATTTGTGTCACCATGAATAACAATGCGTCACTCCGCATTTAAACTTTTCTAATCTAAACTGTACTTGAATGCAAAGATAAGCCAAATATAGTTATTAAAAACTACACAGCACGACATATTTTGGCCTACATGATTTATTGATATTTATCATAATTTAGACTGTAAGGTCAAGTGTGGGTTTGTAGCGTTTTCAATCCTGGAAATCATCGGTGGATGAAATTTTGGAAAGGTACATTACTCAAAGATAGTTGCATTCCTTTTAATTTCAAGGTGAGGCTAAACTGAGATTCTTTCATTTTCAAATTGTAACAAGCTTTCTTTAATCGCCCAACTTTAGTTTAAGAACTACGACGATGGCATAAATAAAAATGCCAGCGTATTTTGCTCCCAGAATATCCAATCAGCTGGACATAATAAACTTGTCTGATGGTTGGATTGAAAACATGTGGATTTGCCACGTGTAAACACACAATGCTCTTTGATGCTAACTGTGCATAACTGTAAATTTAATGAACGTGAGTACCCGACTACCAGAGAGTAGAATGTTAGAACTTAGAAGAAGCTGAACAATCAAGTTTAAATTAAAATTTCATACATAATCTGTTATAATGTATGTATTTTACATATAAAATCTAATAATAGCACACGATTGCTATCAAATAGATTCCAGAGTTATTTTTGTTATGTTATAGTCAGATTGGTGCTGGGTTGACCATTTAATATTCGCATATTCATATCATGCCCTGGGCTATTCATGGTTGGGAATCAGGATCCACCCGGATATCAAGAAAGATGTGGTCTGCCATGAAAGATGTTTTCTTCCAGAAAAATGTAGAAAACGGACCAAACGCTTGTTGAAGGGCTAACTATTAATTTATTTTTTTCTGATTAAACTCGCAGGACAAGGCTTCCTTGAAAAGAACCCAGTCCAACAACCGTCTTATTTTTGTAGAAAAGAGCGTCAAGTATAATCAAAACATTAAAAAAAATTTACTAAATGTATTTTGTTTGTTTGAATGTGTCAATATGTACCGATAAATGCCAATAGCCGCGCCTGCCTGTAAAGTCTGTTCCTAATCATGAAGTTTATGAAGTAGATTCGACACTTGTACTACTACGTCGGCAGTAGACATTGCAATCCACGTGAAAAGCAAAAAATCAGAAACAATTTTGTGAGTGAAATAAGAAAGTGGTATACCTACGGAGGATTGAAACGTTTAATTCATTTAAAAAACATTAAATTTAACAAATTACGCTCTAGAAAATTTATTGCGCTTGAATATCCGTACGGTTGTAGATTGATTGAATTCTGCGTCCAGACGGTAGCTTTTAGGTTACTCAGTTCTACTCTAATATGAGTAGTTTCGTCTAACAAAATTTTATCTTTCAAGTATGTCATTCAACATTGATAATCTTCTTTGGTATAAGGACTTGGCGCTTATTGCAATAGTAATTTGTGCAAGAAAATATTATGTATATTCAGAAAATATAAAATATATTCAAAATTTTACTCACTGGCTCTTGCTGAAGGCGAATCGCTGGAGATGTCGACGGAGGTCGCACGGCGGGTTGCCCCTGGAAGTGACGAAGGCCCCGACTCCGGAGTCAGGGACATGGCTCGAAAATCCGGCGACTGGGAGCGCCTGCGCGGCAGGGTGGCGTACGGAGAATTGTTCATGCGGCGGATCGCAGCATCGGAGAAAGCAGATGACGATCGCCGCCGAGTGGGAGACTCTCGCGAGGGTCTCCGTCCAGACGGTGATGGCGTCCGGGACCTGAGCGAGTCAATGAAACTTTGCATGGGAGACTCTGATCGAGCGTAGGATGTGATATCATCGTCAAATGGCGACGACTCCCTGTACGAAGTTCTTGTGTATCCACGGCTGCGTCGACGTCCAAAATTTTCTTCAGAAAATGGCGACGTGGCTCGAGAGCTTCGGCGGCTGTTGAAATCATCGAACGGCGAAGTGGCGCGGGAAGAACGACGCGAAGTTTCCTCGAGGGACGAAATCAAGCCAGAAAATTTACGAGGAGGTAAGCCATCACTCACTGAAGACGGAGCATAGGAGTACGTTGTGGTAGACTTGTAGAGAGGACCGTTCCCATACACGGCTGGAGGCTGAGAAGCAGAGGTTTTTCTTACTGGGGAGTCTGGGAACAGTTTCCTGCGGGCAGGGGATGCCGAGCGATGCTTGAAGGAAAATCCTCCAAAAAATGGACGGGAAAGTCCGTCACCGAACGGAGGTCTTTGAGTCAAGGTGCCCATGATCGACCGACGGCCGCACGCAGCTTCTGAGAGCGACGTAGGTAAATTCAGGAACTTATTCTACTGTCAGAGGCTTACGATTTAGGGAGCTTCCTATTGGGGTTTCCCTTATATGCGCTAGCGGGAGGACGGTTTGTTGCTCCGTACGATGTTTCTTGTGGTTCAACCTGAAAAGAATGAGGCAATATTAGCGGATTGTGGTTTTAGTTAAAAACTAATATTATTGAGAGACGAGTAGATTTTTCACAAACTCATCCATCTAGTAAAAATTTAAAGTCTGTTGCCAAAAATGAAAATAAACACGCCTTCGATTGCTCTTAAATTCATAGTTCCTCACACGAGACATCGAATATCGCTGCCATCAATTCATTATTTTATTTCATTAAAGCATCGGTTTCAACATCAATGAATTTTGTGTATTACAACGACCAGTCCAAGCAAAGACGCATTAACGTTGCTCATAACAGGCGAAGACTGAGTGCCTAACTTTAACGACATCTTCACAACGAGTCTCTTAATGAAGAACATCCGTGGGTGTAGCACCTCGGGGGAGAAGGTGCAGCCGTTGGCTGCAATAATTCACTGAGTTGGACAGGAGTGACAACATCGCAAACGCCCTGTCAATATACGCTCACATTTCATTGCGACAGATACAAAGTAAAACGAAAGATTCGATGCGTTCAACATTTGTATTTCGTTTTACACAATTCTTCACGTCCAACAAGACGAGCAACGCAGAGAAAATTGCTAGAACAACAATGACGGCTGCGGTATATGCAGAAAATATATGTATTCCTTCCACTTAAATTGCGGCAGAAATTAAAGAAAGGCCTAATAAACGATAATATATAAAATGCATTGAGGCGAATAGTTGCACATTTTTCTTTCCACAATATATACTATTCCCAGTACTATTCTGCCTAGTACAACACTTTCCAGCACAAAACGATTCAAATAAAATATCTTGCGGCCCTCCCTCAATATTATGATGCGGTCCGGCATCAATAATGTTTCAGTCCTCCTCAATATACTATTTCTCGGCCCTCCTTAAAAACTACATATGTTACAGCCCTCTCTCAATACTAAGTTGCGGCCTTCCATCAGTACAATGTTGAGGCCCTCCCTCAATATTATGGTGCGGTCCTATCAATAGTATATTGTTGCCCTCCCTCGATACTATGTTACAGCTCTCCCTCAATAATATGTTACGATTTTCCATCAATATTATGTTGCGGCCCTCCCACAGTACAATGTTGCGACCCTCCCTCAATAGTATGTATAGACCCTCCGTCAATATTATGTTGCGGCCATCCCTCAATAGTATATGTTATGGCCCTCCCTCAATAATATGTTACTGCCCTCTCTCAATATTACGTTGCATGTTGCTAGGTCGCCTCCCACTCCGGGACCGTCTAGCTGACACAACGATCCTCTTTAGGAAAGGCAATGTGGTCACGGTAAAGCATTTGTATCAACGAAGCTACACTACAAAGTCGCGTCGACTACATCATGCCTTATTGGTAACATCTCACACTGACAACATTGGTCGCAATAAACCAAAGTGATGAACGAGTTTTACAAGAACAATGCCATGCTGTTCGGAACCACTTCAATTAATTATTAGCTATTCAGAACGACTTAAAAGAACAATTGGCTGTTCGAAATGGCTTTAGAGCCTCATATTTTGATCAAAATTTAGCATAAACATTCGCCAAAAGAGCGCGAAGAAATTATTAACTCATGAAACTACTTTATATTCACTTCCTGCAAAGTCAAGACTAAAAGACTAGTTAGTTCGTTATGAACAAGGTTAGTTGAATATCGCAGCACAATTAGTGTAGTTACTCCTATATTGTTCCAGGAAGTGCTCGCTATGTCCTTCACTTGCAGGCTCGTAAATTTGCAAGTGTGAAAAGCATCCAGTGAAGTTCAGTTTTATGACCGAATAAGAAAACCTAATATGGAATTCACGCTTTACCACTCCCATGCAACACAATATAGCTTTCAATGAATATAAATTTGAGATATGTGGCAACTAAATACGTATCTTTTCTGGCGAACGTGCGTAGTGATATTTATCAACACCGAAATCACTAAACTGGGAGGAGAATGGTTTTAATATTATGGCTTGGTAAAATGCCATAACTGAACATGTATCATATGATGTATGTTAGTATGGTGTAGGTAGCTTCTTCGAATTAAAGGTAAATATTTTTTACTCGTACCTCGTCGTTAAATGTTCAGGTGATGAAAAATTATGACCCAAAGTGTTCAAAATCACACAACTTAAGAAAATAAGAAAATAGTTTGATATGAACATAGAAAGTTTCCAGAGGGTCAATCATAAATTATAATTAATGTGAGGGTTATAATCCGGCAATAACTTTAACCAAAATGAATGGGGAAGTTTCCGGGTCGATGTCTCTCAGAGAACTTAGTGCAATATAAAGAAAAAACAATAATGTTTTCTATTTTGCTCAAACGATGACAGTTTGATTTGTTCTCGATATAATTTCCTGTTCTATTTCTTTGAATAGTATAAAAGAAAGCGCACACCGGCGCTGACAATTCATATTTTGTATTCGGATTATATTGGCTCTTTAATCTTGGTTGTAAAAAAATTAATCTGATGAATGATTAAGATTGTTGTTCACTACATTTTAGGTGTGATATTCTTGCCCGTATGAATATGTAACAAAAATAGAAGAAATATCGATATTGACTCAGATGTACATATGGCTAAAAATCTAAAAATCCGATGCCCACAAAAAATTTGATCTCAATTTCTTACTGTCGTCAGTAGCATAAATAAGCTACCTTGCTTTTAAGAAGCCACCCTACTTATACTGAACTTATTGTTAATCCACACGGGGCCAATTCTCGGCTCCCAGGCTCTCAACCGATGATTTGGCTCCCAAATTGCTCCCTTGCCGTGACTTTAAGCCGACCTTGGCCCTCGGCTATGCCTCTACGCCCTCCTGACCTTCGTAGTCTTGAAGCACGAATCCAACAATCCATTTAAAATTCGTACAGACAATGCTAACATTAAGAACGAAATAACATGAATAGGAGTAGATATAAAACAATTTCATTTCATGAATTTTGTCTGAATATATGTGGGATAGGTAATTATTTTTTTGACCTTCGTAGTCTTGAAGCACAAATCCATCAATTTAAACTTATACAAACTATACCAGTATTAAGGACGCAATAACAAAAGGAGTTGATATAAAACAATTTCATTTCATGAGTTTTACCTGAATAAATGTGGGATTATTTTTTTTGATCTACGTAGTCTTGAAGCATGAATCCAACAATCCATTTTAAATTCGTACAGACAATGCTAACATTGAGTGCCCAATAACATGAATAGGAGTGGATATAAAACAATTTCATTTTATGAATTTTGCCTGAATAAATGTGGCATAGGTAATTATTTTTTTGATCTTCGTAGTCTTGAAGCACGAATCCAACAATCAATTTTGAACTTATACAGACAATACCAGTATTAAGGACGCAATAACAAAAGGAGTTGATATAAAATAATTTAATTTTATGACTTTTGCCCAAGTAAATATGGGATAATTATTTTGAGTGAATATTATCTCACAAGCTGCCACAAACTTAGATCAGTAATGCAATTTAGCGTGATTTGTTCAAAATTATATTATCAAAACTCCTGACAGTTCTGTCTAAAAGTTTGGCTATTACCTGACATGAACTCGTTTATCCTGCGTAGATTCATTTCTACGACATAAATGTAAAGAATTTGCGTTATGATGTTCATAAGGACTACAACAATAAAAAATGAAATTAAAAACTATATGATTCAACAATTTAGAGATAAATTTCGCTCGATTTTTAATGAATAATCGCCCACATCACAGGTAGGTAATTAAACAAGGCGATCGTCCACCGGACCTGGTAATTGAAAGTATAAGTGAGCAATAAATCTTCGGCAAGATATTGGCTGATTAAATTTTTTTCTCGACGACAGAAACCTGCAATTAAGAAATGCATGGGAATGAATGTTACTTGTCGATGAATTAAAAATTCATGGCTTCGCAAAATATGTAGGTTCAGAGCGGTGAAGAAGGTACGGGGAAATTTACGATTCATGCACGGAAAACATCCGTTTTATTATCTTATCTATCATCAGCTATCTTATTGTTCGATCAAAAAAGTCTATTCACGATAAACGTTATCCACGTTTGACAGAACAGGCTCGATAACACAGTTTGCAGATTTTATATGTAAAATACATAAATAATAAAAGATAATTTATGAATTTTTAAGTATAAAACTTAAATGTCTGGTCAGTTGACTGTGATTTGCATGCAGTAACATGAATGAGTTATACACTTCAAATAGTGACACTTTTTGTAAGTAAGGCTAATACTCTCATTTGCCGGTCAGCACTGGTTCAGAATGACACACACAAGAACAAGGCTTGCATCGCTATTTGGACAAATTGTCACTCATTTCTCTGAGTACAGACACCTACGTTTATCTGACTGGCTGCTAAATATGGAGTTGAGTGAGCCGGATAAACGGTGCGTGCAAGAAGCGGTACTGCTGCATGAGAAAGTGCGGAGTGGGGGCATGTGATCTATGCTAGGGCGGACCTGGAACGAGTTTAACGGTTACGTTGTGTTTGTATAATGTATATATATATATATATGTTAATGTGTGTATATAATATATATAATGTATTATAAAACTACAAACGTGGCTGAAACAGAAGCGGTACTGCTGCATGAGAAAGCGCGGAGTGGGGGCATGTGATCTATGCTAGGGCGGACCTGGAACGAGTTTAACCGTTACGTTGTGTATATAATGTATATATATATATATATTTGTTAATATATGTATATGTTATAATATAATGTATTAAAATCACAAACATGTCTGAAACAAAAGCAGTACTGCTGCATGAGAAAGCGCGGAGAGGGGGCATGTGATCTATGCTAGGGCGGACGTGGAACGAGTTTAACGGTTACGTTGTGTATGTATAATGTATATATGCATGCATATGCTATATTTAATGTATTAAAACAACAAACTTTGCTGAAACAAAAGCGATATTGCTGCATGAAAAAGCTTGGAGTGGGGCATGTGATCTATGCTAGGGAGGACCTGGAACGAGTTTAACGGTTACGTTCTGTAT